TCTCTCTCTCTCTCTCTCTCTCTCTCTCTCTCTCTCTCTCTCTCTCTCTCTCTCTCTCTCTCTCTCTCTCTCTCTCTCTCCTCTCTGCTCTCTTCGCTACTGGCTTCTGACTGAGTCTGGGTTAGGTGAGCCTGTGTGGGTGAGTCTGAGTATGGGTACGTCTGTGTGTGCCTGACTCTGAAGAAATGAATCTGAGTGTGAGTGAGCTTGTGTATGAGTGAGTCTGGGTGCGAGTCTGAATCCCAATGGTGCCCCTGGCAGTGTCTGGCGACTAGGAGGCCTGGGTCGACTCCTCTTTGGGGAGCCAAAATGCTGCCCCTGGCAGCGTTTGGTGACTATGAAGCCCCTGGTGGACCCCCCCTGGGGCTCCCAAATGATGCCCCTGGCAGCGTTTTGTGACCATGAGGCTCTCAAGAGATACATGTTGGGGACGCCAAACGGCAATTCTAGCTGAGGCGTCCCACCAAAATCGGCGCGAACGGGCTCGTGAGATCAGCCAGGGTGGCTCCCCCTTGGGGCTCCCAAATGATGCCCCTGGCAGCGTTTTGTGACCATGAGGCTCTCAAGAGATACATGTTGGGGAGGCCAAACGGCAATTCTAGCTGAGACGTCCCACCAAAATCGGCGCGAACGGGCTCGTGAGATCAGCCAGGGTGGCTCCCCCTTGGGGCTCCCAAATGATGCCCCTGGCAGCGTTTTGCGACCATGAGGCTCTCAAGAGATACATGTTGGGGGCGCCAAACGGCAATTCTAGCTGAGACGTCCCACCAAAATCGGCGCGAACGGGCTCGTGAGATCAGCCAGGGTGGCTCCCCCTTGGGGCTCCCAAATGATGCCCCTGGCAGCGTTTTGTGACCATGAGGCTCTCAAGAGATACATGTTGGGGGCGCCAAACGGCAATTCTAGCTGAGACGTCCCACCAAAATCGGCGCGAACGGGCTCGTGAGATCAGCCAGGGTGGCTCCCCCTTGGGGCTCCCAAATGATGCCCCTGGCAGCGTTTTGTGACCATGAGGCTCTCAAGAGATACATGTTGGGGGCGCCAAACGGCAATTCTAGCTGAGACGTCCCACCAAAATCGGCGCGAACGGGCTCGTGAGATCAGCCAGGGTGGCTCCCCCTTGGGGCTCCCAAATGATGCCCCTGGCAGCGTTTTGTGATCATGAGAGAGTGTGAGTGTGAGTGAATGTGACTGCGAGTGAGTCTGAGTGAGAGTGAGTCTCATCTTATCTTATCGAGTCCTATCTTATCTTACCTTTATTACCCTCTATCTTATCTTATCTTGAAATATCTTATCTTGCCTTAGCTTATCTTATATCAACTCATCTTATCGCATCATATCTTGTCTTATCTTATTACTCCATAGGCTGTCTTATCTCATCTATTATCCTACCTTGTCATATACCTTATCTTACCTTATCATATATTGAGCTATCTTATCTGATCTTGTAGTATCTTATCTTGTCTTGTCTTATCTGGTGATTATCATTGGGAGGAGGGAGGCGCGAGCGGGAGGAAGGAGTCCGCGCGTGGGAGGCGTCAGAGTAATAACAAGAACCCCAATCCTTAGGATATGGGGGAATAATAATAATACTAAAAAATAAACATATATAAAGGAACAATAACAATATCAACAACGAAATTATAGCGAACCATAAGATTATATGTATAACAGTACGAGTCGAGAGAAAAAAAAAAAAAAAAAAAAAAAAAAAAAAAAAAAAAAAACAAACTAGCTCGATCATCCGAAACTTAAAAACAAATCCAATGCTCATGCCGCATTCGCTCTTTGAGCGCGCCTCCCAAATCTCAGGCGTCGTGATTTTGTCGCAAGGGGGGGGCCCAGAAGTCTCAGAATTCTCGACCCGTATTGACCAGGTGAGTTTTTCATCCCAAGCGTTTCTTGACGGCTGTGCGAGGCCGTGAATTGCTCAAACGTGATAGGGCCTGGGCTCCGCCAGGCACGACCACGAAGGGAACGACGACGACACCGACGACGACGACGACATCGACAACGATGGCAGCAGCGGCGACACGATGACGACGTGATCGCCCCCCCTGGTGCACCTCCGCCAAGCCCACGCCGAGGGTCTCCAGGGGCACCATGGCTTGGCCGATCGGCACCTGCGGCCGGGCGGCAGGAGAGGCTGGGGAGAATCCCGGGCCCCTCCTCCTCTCCTCGTCCTCCTCCTGTCCTCCTCCTCCTCTCCCTCCTCCCCCTGCTCTCTCATTTCTTTCCCCAATAAACAACAACTCCCTGTCGCACCTCAAGTCGTGTCGACAGGGCGGGCCAGGATTGTCGCCTGAGACTTCATCACCGCCTATGACCCTGAAACTTAAAAGATACAACAGCTTCGAGGATTGAACACAAATGGTTTTCAACATCTGGATATCGATTTCACGCCGTGCACATTCATCATGCAAGTTTGCAACACGAGGGGGAATCGATTTCAATGTGTGACTCTCGCTTTAGCGCCGCGCACATTCATCTTAAGAGATTGCCTCGGCTTCAAGGATGGAGGGGGGCCGATTCCAAAATGCGGTGTTCGCCTTGGCTTCGCGCACACTCATCCTAAAGGCTTGCAGCTGCTTAACAAATACACGCGGGGCCGTTTTCAAAATGCGTCTCTCGCAATAGCGCCCCGCGCTTTCTTCCTAAAGGTCTGCAACAGTTTCACGGATGGAAGGCGATTCCTTTTCGAAGTGCCCGTTGCAACGCCGCGCACGTTCATCCCAGACACTCGCAAAAATTATCCTGGCGAAGGACCCGACCATATGCAGTTGTGAGTATCGCAATTGTGAGTCTCTTCTTCGGTGGCGCTCCCTATGGGGCCACGAACCGCATGAGGGGTGTGCCGAAATGTGGCGGGGTACACAACGCAAAGGAATACGATATATCTGATTACGAGAGAAAGAACGCGGGTGAGTCAGAGCGCGAGGGAATCTGAGTATGAATGGGTCCGCGCGCGAGTGAATATATTTGCATGAATGCGATCAGGGAAACGCCTAGTGTAAGTGTATATGAATGTGAATGGTTCGAGCATGCCTGTCCGAACACACGTGACACTGGGCGTGGCCGCCGCAGGCAGCTTCCGCGGGAACCCCGACGGCAGCGTCCGCACGTCGCGACGCCCATGTCGGCACGCCTCTTGCGAGGATCGCGCCCGCTTTCGGCTCTTCTTTTCCTTCCTCTTTGCCCGCGCACTCCAAAATCCAAGGCTGCGGGCGCAGCGCAGCGCGGAGTCCCCGCGACGCGCGCTGGTCGCCCGGGCGGGGTCCCAGCGACGCGCGCGGGTCGTCCGCTGCGCGAAGCAGAGAGAGCTGACTAGCTAACTGGCTGGCTGATAGCGGGCAAGTCTCTGACCGCTGGGCAGAGCGACGACGGGCGAACGAGGCGCCGGGCCCCCCGCAGCACGGAGTTCCCGCGACGCGCGCTGGTCGCCCCGAGAGGGTCCCAGCGACGCGCGCGGGTCGTCCGCGGCGCGAGGCCAAACAATTAGTCGGGCAGTCGAGAGAAGGCGCGGCTCGGGGGAGACGCTCCTCAGGTCAGGCCTCGCGGATGAACTCGGTGAAGCCGAGCTCCCTGGCGAGGGCCGTCGCTTCCCTCCTGCACCGCTTCGTGCGCGCCGCAAACTGCTCCAGCTGCTTCCGCAAGCCCTGCGGCGGCCCTGCCAGGAAGAACTCGATGCGCGGCGCCCGCATGAGCAGGAGGTCCTCGTGGCGCGTGGCGCGCGAGAGCAGCACGTAGAGCTCCAGCCACCAGTCGTCGTCCTCCTTGCCGTTCCCTACCTCGTGGCGGCCGCAATCCAGGATCACGCCTGGGCGACGTCGACCGAGGGAGCAGCGCGCCGGGCAGCCGACGGCCCAGGGCGAGAGTCCACAGGACCGAGAGATGGTCTGGCCGCGGACTGCTCGCGCCCCGGAGGTCTGGCCGCCCCCGGAGCGCCGTTCCCCCGCCCCGTCGCCTTCGCGCATGGTGCGCCCCTGGCACGCCACCGTGGTGATGACCCTGCCGTGCGAGAAATGCGGGGGGTGTGCCGAAATGGGTGGGGGTGACGCATGCGGGCGGCGGCACTGAGGCCTTCGGTGGAGCTCCCATATGGAGCCACGAAACGTGTGAGGGGTGTGCCGAAATGGGTGTGGGTGACGCATGCGGCCGCGGGCACTGGGGCCTTCGGTGGAGCTCCCTATGGAGCCACGAAACGTGTGAGGGGTGTGCCGAAATGGGTGTGGGTGACGCATGCGGGCGCGGGCACTGGGGCCTTCGGTGGAGCTCCCTATGGAGCCACAAAACGTGTGAGGGGTGTGCCGAAATGGGTGTGGGTGACGCATGCGGGCGCGGGCACTGGGGCCTTCGGTGGAGCTCCCTATGGAGCCACGAACGTGTGAGGGGTGTGCCGAAATGGGTGTGGGTGACGCATGCGGGCGCGGGCACTGGGGCCTTCGGTGGAGCTCCCTATGGAGCCACGAAACGTGTAGGGGTGTGCCGAAATGGGTGTGGGTGACGCATGCGGGCGCGGGCACTGGGGCCTTCGGTGGAGCTCCCTATGGAGCCACGAAACGTGTGAGGGGTGTGCCGAAATGGGTGTGGGTGACGCATGCGGGCGCGGGCACTGGGGCCTTCGGTGGAGCTCCCTATGGAGCCACGAAACGTGTGAGGGGTGTGCCGAAATGGGTGTGGTGACGCATGCGGCCGCGGCCCACTGGGGCCTTCGGTGGAGCTCCCTATGGAGCCACGAAACGTGTGAGGGGTGTGCCGAATTGGGTGTGGGTGACGCATGCGGCCGCGGGCACTGGGGCCCTCGGTGGAGCTCCCTATGGAACCACGAAGCGTGTGAGGGGTGTGCCGAAATGGGTGTGGGTGACGCATGCGGCCGCGGCCACTGGGGCCTTCGGTGGGGCTCATATGGGCACAAACGTGTGAGGGTGTGACGAATTGGGCGTGGGTGACGCAAGCGGCCGCGGGCCTGGGGGCCCGGTGGAGCTTCCTATGGGCCACGAAACGTGTGAGGGGTGTGCCGAAATGGGTGTGGGTGACGCATGCGGCCGCGGCCACTGGGGCCTCGGTGGAGCTCCCTATGGAGCCACGAAACGTGTGAGGGGTGTGCCGAAATGGGTGTGGGTGACGCTGCGCCGCGGGCACTGGGGCCTTCGGTGGAGCTCCCTATGGAGCCACGAAACGTGTGAGGGGTGTGCCGAAATGGGTGTGGGTGACGCATGCGGCCGCGGCCACTGGGGCCTTCGGTGGAGCTCCCTATGGAGCCACGAAACGTGTGAGGGGGTGCCGAAATGGGTGTGGGTGACGCATGCGGCCGCGGCCACTGGGACCTTCGGTGGAGCTCCCTATGGAGCCACGAAACGTGTGAGGGGTGTGCCGAAATGGGTGTGGGTGACGCATGCGGCCGCGGCCACTGGGGCCTTCGGTGGAGCTCCCTATGGAGCCACGAAACGTGTGAGGGGTGTGCCGAATTGGGTGTTGATGATGATGATGATGATGATGATGATGATGATGATGATGCTGCCTGCTGCTGATGATGATGATGATGATGATGATGGGATGGGAGGGGGGAGGAGGCAGCGGGAGGAAGGAAGGAAGGAAGGAAGGAAGGAACGCGGGGCACCGTCTCTTCAAAACGAGGACCCAACACCACAGGATGGTTGGGAAAAATTGATGATCGAGGCGGGTCGTTCTCAAAATGTGGTTCTCGCCTTAGCGCGCGCGCGTTCGTCCTAACAGTTTGCAGCAGCTTCAGGGGCGGAGGGGGGCAGTGTCCAAAGTCTGTCTTTCGCTTGGGCGCCACGCGCACTTCTCGCATTAACTTCACGGGAGGAGAGCGATTCCTTTTCAGAGTGCGGTTCCCACCTCAACGCCGCACACGTTCGTCTCACAGCCTTGCAACCGTTTGAAGTCTGAGTGAAGGGGCCGACATCACTCACTGTCCCTGGGTGCGCGACTGAAGTAAGATTCCGCGGTGCGGACCGTTGTTGCGTTGTTGTTGCTGTTGTGGTTATTGTTGACGTTGTCGTTGTCGCTGCTGTTGCCGTTGTCATTGTCTGTGTCGTTGTCGTTGCCGTTGTCGTCGTTGTTGTCATTGTTGCTGTTGGTGTTGTTGGTTGTTGTTGTTGGTGGATCCTCGTCTCTAAAGAAAAATGCGCTTCGCCCCCCCCCCATCCAGTAACGCAGTTTTCAATTCGAGCGTTCCTCCTCGGGCTGGTGCCACACAACTGCATGGCTGGGCCCTAAACAACAGCAACAACAACAGCAGCAGCAACAACAACAACAATCATTTTAAGACTGCCCGCTCTTGCTGGCACGCGTGTCTTGCATTCCGTATACCCCAACCCTCGGTACCCGCCCACTGCGTCTTCGATTGCACCCCTTTTCGGGGAGAATCTCTTCCTCGTCGGCCATTGACTGAAGTGTGAAGAAGTCCCGAGCGAGAGCGCCGTTCCCGAGTTCGGGGGCCTCTTTGGCCAAGGGCTCTCGGAATACCTATGGAGAAATATCTGACGGGAGCCCTGGTCGCCGTGTCCGGACCTTCACCAACTTGCCTGAATCACGGAGAAATCTCGAGCGAGAGCGCCGTTCCTGAGTTTGGGGGCCTTCTTGGCCAAGGGCTTTCGGAGCAAATCCTTGCGAAATAAAGAGCGGGAGCCCTTGTCGTCGTGGCGGGGCCTCCGCCAACTTAATTGAATTGCGAAGAACTCTCGCGCGTGAGCGCCGTTCCTGAGATCGGGGGCCTCTCTGGCCAGGGTGTATCGGGATAATATTTGAAGAAGTATCGAGCGGGAGCCGTTGTTGTCGTAGCTGGGCCTCCTAGGGCCAACATTCAGGCTCAAGCCAAAGCTCGAGCGAAAGTTTCGCTGTCAGAGAACATGTAGCCGGCGTCGATGCGAGAGCGCGCGGAACCGTTTCCCGAGATCAACAATAATAACTCTTTAGACATGACTATTCAAAAGCAGCAGCAACAACAACAATCATGTTCAGGCTGTTCGCTCTTATCTGCTCGAGTGTCATTCAACGCGTATTTCCCAAACCCTCGATACCCGCCCTCTTTGTCGTCGATCGTACCACTTTGGGGGGTCTATCTTTCTTCCCTGCAGGCCGGGCCCAGGCAGGGGGCGGGGCGGCCGCGGACCGTTCGCCTGGCCAGCGGCAGCGCTGATCGGCGGCAACCCGACCCCAACAGGGACGAACAGGGGACCGACCACGACGACGACGACGACGACGGCGACGATGACGACGAGCGACAGCGAGAGCGAGAGCGAGAGCGAAAGCGAGAGCGAGAGCGACAGCGGGGCCACAAAGGGCGCGAAAGAGCGGGGGCCACGAAGGGCATACGCATATTGGGACGCAGAAAGCAACGACGGGGCCACTGAGGGTAGCAACGGGGCCACGTAGGGCAGCGAGGGCTCAGGAGAGCCACAGTCTGTCCCAAGAAAGCCTCTAGCCTCCTCCTCTTCCTCCTCCTCCTCCTCTCTCTCCTCCTCCTCCTCCTCCTCCTCCTCCTCCTCCTCCTCCTCCTCCTCCTCCTCCTCCTCCTCCTCCTCCTCCTCCTCCTCCTCCTCCTTCCCTCGCCCCCCCTCCTCCTCTCCTCCTCCTCCTCCTCTCTCCTCCTCCTCCTCCTCCTCCTCCTCCTCCTCCTCCTCCTCCTCCTCCTCCTCTCCTCCTCCTCCCCCTCCCCCCCCGTCTGCTCCCCCTCCTCCTGCTCTCCTCTGCTTCCTTCTCCTCCTCTTGCTTCTCCTCCACATCCTTCTCCCCCCTCCTCCTCTCTCATCCACCTCCTCCACCCTTTCCACCCTCTCGTTTTCATCTTCGTCGCTCTCAGGGTTGGCGGCAACGGCCGTAAGGCCTTCGCAATAATCGAAAAATGCTCCAAGGAGTCGAAAATAGTCAAAACAAAAACGTCCCCAGACGATTTCTGTCAACTTTTGAAGATTAAAATGACCCAAGAATGCTCCCAGAGAGCCAGAAATACTCAAAACATCGTCTCCTGACGATTTTATTAATATATTTGACTACTCCTCCGGTAGGGGGACAGGCCCGACTTCAGGCGAGCGCGGACCCAGACCCGCCCCAGGGCCGCACCGGGAGCCCCCCGAGGGCTGGCCACGAAGCAGCTCCCCCCAAACCCGCTGTAGAAGTCACTAAGAAACACACCCACCCCAGGAGAACCACCCCCATAAGTCAAATACAACTATGTTGGGGTATTCCTCCTGTAGAGGGACAGGCCCGACGCAAGGGCAGAACGGAGGGAGCAGGGAGAGAACAGCTCCAAGGACCCCCCACAGCTCCCTGGACCTCCCTACGCGAGCCTGAGCAGCACCTGTCTGCTCACAGAGCGTCCCGACCTGCGCGGCTGGGAACGGCCATTCAAGCCGAGCCTGGCCCAGAAACCAACGGACTTTCGCCAGCGTGGACCCCAAATGGTAAGTTATGGCACTGTGGATGTGTAATTGAAGTCAAAAAACCAAACCCCACAATAACCACCCCGACACGCGAAGTAGTTCAACAAACGCGCCCAGAAGGAATCGAACAGGGCAGGGCTGTTCTACTAAACGCCCAGGGCCGTTCAGTAGACGCCGAATGTCTGGTCTGGGTGGTTTTTCCCCCCTTGATGTTGGGCTCCGCACGGCCCGTATGACTCCCAGGCCGCGGTCAGCCAGAGAGGGCCAGAGGGATTGCCTGCTGAGCCCCGTTAGAGTTAGGTCGGGAGTGTCCCCCACACAGGCGGATCTCGGACGAAAAGTAACAAGCACCCCAAACATACGCACAAAGATATGCAAACACAGGTCGTCCCCCTATGGTTGGTTCGCTTATCTCTACGATTCCCCCCTGCAGAGGGACACGCCCGACGTAACGTGAGAGCTGACTGAAGGGGCCCAAGGACACACAACTGAATACACACAAATAAAAAGATGCCCCATATTTTCCTATATTTTCTGGGTTTTTGTCTTCCCCCCATATGTTCTGGGTGTTCGTCTCCCCCCCCACTGACCCATATTTTCCCATATTTTCTGGGGAATCGACGATTAATTATGTCTGTGTGTTTCTTCCCCTCCTGAGACACGCCCGACGTAACGGTGAGAGCTGCCACCCGCTGCCCGCGCCCCCTGCCGGGAGCCGAGAGGGGATAAGGGGAGGACGGGCTCCCGGGGGGGGAAGACGGACCCGGAGACGCCGGGGCAGCGCCGGGAGGGGGCGCCGATGAAGGGCCCCCCCCCCGGAGGGCTGGGGAGCCGCAGAAGATCGCTGCCGATGAGATGCACGAGGTATACGAGCTCGACGAGGGTCCCGGCTGTTTTTGGAGTACGTTTTGATTATTTTTGGGGCATGTTTGATTTTTCGTCGAAAATGCCCCTGTAGGGGGACAGGCCCGACATAAAGCTAGAGGTATAATTACCAGCCTGGAACATATCCCTACCCCTATGCTGGGCACCTCCTCATTACGATGCCGATCTTGGGGGGTTCCCCTATTGTTTGAGGGCGAATCCTAAGATTGTCATCGCCTTTTGGCGTGTCAATCTTGGGGATAGGGATACGTTCGAGGGTGGTATTTTCAGAGCTCGGCGAGGGTCCCGGCGGTAGCCTGGGGGACGGTTTGCCGCCGGCTTCCAGTACCATGTAGAGCACTCTGGGCAGAGCGAGCTGGAGGCATTCCGGAGCGGGGCGAGTTCCCGGAGACGCCAGGCAGGCCCCGAGCCTCGAGCCCGCGGGTCGGCGCCCCCGAGCTCGGGTCGGGCGTGCCCTCCTGCAGGCGGGCGTTGGGAAGACAGGTGGAGCATAGCAACATCTCGGAATCATTCCTCCTCCTGTAGAGGGACATGCCCGACTTAACCCTGCGCCCCCGAGAGGCGAGGATAGGGGAACGAAAAGTGGCGTAAACATAAAAGCTCGGAGGTCCGCGCGGATTTCTCGCATCGGCGCTGGACCCCCCTTCCCTGGCGCGCGGAGCGAGCCAGGGGCGGCGATGGAGGCGCCGCCGGGGGGCCCCAGCGCCGATCCGAGAAATCCGCGCGGGCCTCCGAGCTTTTGTGTTTATGTCACTTTTTGTTCCCCTATCCTCGCCTCTCGGGGGCGCAGGGTGAAGTCGGGCATGTCCCCCTACAGGAGGAGGAATGATTCCGACACAGCAAGACATAGTGTGGGGACGACGTTTCGATGGTTGCTGCTTTGCTGTGCTTGGATGATTTTTTTTGTGTTGCTACGTTTATGACACTTTTTGTTCCCCTAGAGGAAGGAGGCGGCGAGGCCCCAGCGCCGATCCGAGAAATCCGCGCGGGCCTCCGAGTTTTTGTGTTTATGTCACTTTCTGCTCCCCCGTCCTGCTTGAATCCTTTCCCTGGCAAAGGCTTCGAAGAGCTTCCTGCGATTGCGCCGCTGTGCAGAACTACTGCACAGAGCCGAAACACCAAACACCGAGGAGGCGAGGAGGGAGGCGGCGAGGGGTCGCAGGCGGCGCGCCGCGCTGGGCGCCTTGTCCCCCTCCGCCAGGCCGTCCACGTGCCAGACGCACAGCCACAGCACCGCGCCGTCGAAGGCCCTCAGGGGGCCCGCGGCCTCCGAGGCGCGGCGGGCGGTGGCCCGCCCGTGGGGGAGGAGGAGGAGGAGGAGGAGGAGGAGGAGAGGAGGAGGAGGAGGAGGAGCATGAGGGAGGAGGAAAGGAGGAGGAGGAGAGGAGAGGAGGGAGCAGCAGGAGGAGGAGGAGGAGGAGGAGGAGAGGGAGGAAGGAGAGAGGAGGAGGAGGAGGAGGAGGAGGAGGTGAGGCGGCCGGCGCCCTGCTCCTCCGCCCCCCGCGGTGGCCCGCCCGTGGGAGGCCCGTGGAGTCTGCCCGGGTGCCGGCTCCCCTGGCGTCTGGTCGCAAGGCGTCGCGCCACTCCTCCTCCTCTCTTCCTCCTCCTCCTCCTCCTCCTCCTCCTCCTCCTCCTCCTCCTCCTCCTCCTCCTCCTCCTCCTCCTCCTCCTCCTCCTCCTTCTCCTTTTTATTATTATTATTCTTATTATGATTGTTATTCTTATTAGTTTTCTTCTTATTATTATTCTTATTCTTATTCTTCTTCTTCTTCACATTATTATTATTATTCTTCTTCTTATTATTATTATTCTTATTATGCTTATTATTCTTATTATTCGTATTATTCTTATTCTTATTATTCTTCTTATTCTTATTATTATTCTTAGTATTCTTCTTCTTATTAGTATTATTCTTCTTATTATTATTCGTCTTCTTCTTATTCGTCTTATTATTCTTCTTATTATTATTATTATTCTTATTCGTTTTCTTATTATAATTATTATTATGCTTATTATTCTTATTATTATTCTTCTTCTTCTTCTTCCTCCTCCTCCTCCTCCTCCTCCTCCTTCTCCTCCTCCTCCTCCTCCTCCTCCTCCTCCTCCTCCTCCTCCTCCTCTTCCTCCTCCTCCCTCATGCTCCTCCGCCTCCTCCTCCGCCACCTCCACCTCCCCCCCTCCCCTCCTCGTCGTCCTCCTCCTCCTCCTCCTCCTCCTCGTTCTCCTCCTCCTTCTCCTCCTCCTCCTCCTCCTCCTCCTCCTCCTCCTCCTCCTCCTCCTCCTCCTTTC